TATATATATATATATCATCTATCTATCTACCCATCTTGAACTCCGATTCTCTTGCCTCCACCTCCCAAGTTCTGTGACTATAAGCACATACACATGACTGAAATGAGTTTCTTGTAGACAACATATACTCTTAAAATTCACTTTTATCTTTTAATTACATTTATTTATTTGTGTATGTGCACATGTGTGTGTCATGGCATGCATGTGGAGACCTGAAGACAACTTAGGGAGTCAGTTTTCTCATTCCATCATGTGGATCTCAGTGAATGAACTCAGGTGATCAGATTTGGGGGGCAAGTACCTTTATCTAAAAAGGAGTCTCCTTGGCCCTAGGCACTATATCTTTGTGTCTTTTTCTTAAACCTAAATTTTTAGTTTTTGTAACACAATTCATTTACATTCAAGTGTATTATTACTAGATGCGTATTTCTATCATTTCATTAATTTGCTTCTGATTATTGTGCGTATCCTTTGTTCTGTTCTGCCTCTCTTAGTGCTCATCTTTGTGGTTTGGGAAGTTATGATGGTTAGTCTCAGTTTTCAGTTTGATGAGATAAAGAGATGGTCCTCTGGGCATGCCTGGTTTGCATGGTCTTGATTAAGTTCACTGAGGTGAGAGGACCTGCCCACTTTTGGTGGCACCATTCCCTGGGCTATGACCCCAGATTGTATAAAAAGGAGAAACTGAGCTAAGCACAAACAATCATGTCTCTCTGCTTGACTGTGGATGTAATGTGACCAGCTGATTCAGACTCCTGCTGCCTTGATGTCCATGTCATGCTGGATTAGAAAATTGCACTCTGAGCTGAAATAATCCCTTTAATTGCTTTTTATCATAGCAACTGAAAAAGAAACTAAGCGGCTGTTTTAGAAGCTCTAGTTATTTCCCTGTTTTATGTATCTGCTATACTGCATGTATACTCTTAGAAGTTCTGCTTGGGTGCTGCTGATGCAAGTACGTGTGGTTAATGAAACTGTGACTACTGAAACTGCGTGGTTCAAAGGGACATGTGGTTTTCTGCTCTACTTCTATAGTAAGAATTTTCCCTCTTTGAGGTAAGGTATAAAAGCATTTTCGTTCAGTAATAATGTACCCACTTGGTCATCACCTACAGGTCCTCCTGATCAGCTGTTTTTGTGTCTTTGTCTTTTTTTCCTTTATCCCCTATCCTTCCCACTCAGGTTTTAGGAACCCCACAACTGGACTGTGGCAGAGTGCCTTTTAAACGTCATACTCATTTCAAAGTAGAAGAATTATGCATGTTTATCGTGAAAAACTTCAAACATAAAGAAAAACAGAGAATCTAAATTACTTATAGTACAATTCCATATATTTATATAAGATTATACAATATATTATTTTATTTTTTTCCCTTTTCACACAGTATTTTATATATTTTATGTTGATCCTTATGTAGTTGTGAAGTTATTATCATAAAAAAACTGAAAAGAAATTCCTTAGTGTGTCTGCCATGCTCACTTCTCTGTAGTATTCATTTGAGTGGTGAATCCTGCTCTTTGGTCTGCTTGGCCATACAGCTCTGAAGTAGAGGACTCAGCCGTAGGCACAGCAGAATCCTTACTGAACCTGAAGTCAGCACAACTAGTTTTTTCGCTTTTGTAATGTAGCTGCTTACTTACAAAATAAGCATGGAACTCTATGCCTTAACTATGTGGTGAAGACCATGAAGATGCATTAGGAAACTATGGGAAAATGTGTTGTAAATGACAAAGTGCTGCTCAAAAATGATGCAGTGATAATATTCTCAGAACTCTCTCTCTCTCTCTCTCTCTCTCTCTCTCTCTCTCTCTATATATATATATATAATGTAAGGTGGCATTCTGACTTATTTATCCATAACTGTCATTCTTTGACAGAAGTATTAGCATTAAGTCTATTTCATTGACTAAACGTTGACACAGAAAGGGGAGATAATTAGCTATGGTTTCAACCTACTTGATTACACACTGTCTGCTTTTTCTTGTTTAGTATCATGTCCAACAAAGCAAGTTCCTCACTAATTTGAAGATGGAATACTACTGACATAGACCTTTTGGGTCATCATGAGTAGTAAGTAAAATAATATACAGAGAAGAAGTAGAATAAACAGCACAAAGCAACTGACTGAAAATGATAATTATTTCTTTTTACAGTGCTACTAAAAGAGCAAATCTAACATAAATTCTGTCCATCTAAACTTACTAAAGTAACAGATCATATCCTCTGCTTTATGTAATATTATTTACCCATGCCCTAAGATTAAAGTTATTTTTAATGCATATATTTGATTTTGCAAATTAATTTTGCTCTGTGAGAGATTAGTTGTAATTGAGAGAAAATTCAGTGGTGAATGTAAGAAATATCTGAAGACAACTTGTAAATTCATGACATATATTTGAAAATAAAAAGTGATGATTGTCTCATTTTTGTTTCTCCTGCAAGAAACCACTAACTAAACAAATTATTCTTAAAAGTAACCTTGCAGTATCTTTGGAAAGTAAATGCTCATGGTGGGATGGGGCCACACCACCATCTTTTCTTACTGTGACTAGTACTCACTTTCTCTTCTTCCTTGGGTTGCAGATTGGATTGGAAAATATCACAGTGTGTGAGTCGTAGTGTAAATAATTTAGTACTAAGGAAAGGCTACGCACCAATTATTATATATGGGGTCATATGTGGTGGCACAAACATTTTACCATAAGAACCTGTGACAGAGGGTTTTGACCTTGTGGTGGAAATGCTGCCTATCTTGACCACTTGTTCTTGAGCTCTGTGGTGGTCAGCCTCAGTATATTTAAATATATACTCATACCCAGGAAGCAGTGTGGAGATAGGAAGGATTATTCTTGAACTGTACAAACTAAGAGATATATGGCAGAATTTTCACAGCTAAGAGGAGCCTGACAGTTTCTCACATTAAAAGAGAAACCATCTATTTTTGGTCTTTATGAAACAAGGTTTCCTTATAGCCCCAGCTGGCCAAGAGTTCACTGTGTAGACCAGGCTGGCCTTGAATTCACAGAGAACCAGCTGCCTCTGCCACTTAAGTGTTAGGATTAAAGGGGTGGGCCACCATGCCCAACATCTTCTTATCCAGAATTTTTATGCTAAAATTTACTATTGAATTCTGATACTTAGAACTGGATAGTTATTGTTTCCCCCAAAATCTGTTTTAAAACAAAAGCTCTAAGAAGAAAATTGCTACATGGATATTCTTACATCTTGAATTTCATGAACAGTTCAGTTTTGGATTAAGTGATGATCCCTAATTTAAGGATATGAAATATTATCAAGGTAAATATTTATAAAGATTTCCTTGAGTATATTTTATAACAAAAGACTGATGTCCAACAAACGAATTGGTAGAAAATGAAACAGGGTTACAGTGTGTCCACTAGTCTTACCCTTAATTGTCTCAGCAAGAGATTAAACTTATGTACTAATGGTATTAATTTTTCTTCTAATCCCCCTTCTTAATATTGCATCTATCATCTATCTGTCTGTCTATCTATCATCTATCTATCATCTGTCATCTATCTATCTATCATCTATCATCTATCCATCTGTCAATCTATTCTAACCATCATCTATATTTCTATCTTATCATCTATCTATCTATCATCATCTATCCATCCATCCATCCATCTCTCTATCATCTATCAATCTTCTATCATCTATCCATCCATCACCTATCAATCTATCATCTATCTTATCTACCTATCTATCATCTATCATGTTCTATCATCTATCTATCATCTAACATCTATCTAGCTATCTATCTGCCTATCTAATCTTAGGACTTTCCTAGGAAAATATTCACAATACCATATAAAACAGTAAAATACATTATATTGTTTCAGTAGAATATCATGGCTCTTAAAATGAAATTATAATAACTTGTGATAGAGCTGGAGAGATGGCTCAGCAGTTAAATAAGAGAACTGGGTGGTCTTGCAGAGGACCAGGGTTTGGTTCTGAGCACCCACATGGTGGCTAGCAACTGTCTGACTATAGTTTCTGGGATTGAGCACTTTTTTCTGGCCTCCATGGGCATTGAATGCATGGATGTGCTTACATACATGCAGGCAAAACACTCAACATATAAAATAAAAGTAAATAAAAAATAAAAATCTTGCTATAGCATGGTAAGAATAAGGTCAGTACTGGAGAGTGATTAAATTTGTGTGCTTTTCTGCTTCAAGAGTCTCTAAAATATTTATAAAATACTAAAAATATTTTCTCTAATGTTTTCCCACAGTTTCTCTAACAAATAATAATAATTCTTTTGAACTTTAGCAGTTTATTCCCAAATACACCATTTCCTTCTTATGTTTTATGAAGCAATAGATACTTTATTATCTATAACTCAGCTAACTGGCCTAGCAAGTTGGTGACACCTTGATAGTTAGGTGAAAGTATTAGGTGCCTACCACACAGCTTTTCTGAATATTTTTATTGATAACATTGCTGTGCATGAAATTAGAGGCTGCTCGCTAGAGGCTTATGAAGACGAGTAAAGAACACAATGTATATTCAGGTGTTATGGTAGAACACAATTATTATCCTTTAGAAATTTTGGCAGGTTGATTAAAGGAGTTATTTATGGGGAATGGCCATATAACAAAATTACTTACAGTAAGAAACACACTCAGAAAATATATACATTTATATTTAATTTTTGAGATAGTCAGAAGTTTACTGAGCCCAGCTATCACTTTAAACTGAGCATGTTACAGTGTAAGAAATTTTATCATAGGTGAATCATATGAAAACAAGAGTACATTAAATTAATGCTGAAATTCTAATAAGAAACCACCCACTTTATCTATGTAATCTGTCCTTTTAAATTTTGTAATGGACCCTATAATGCTTAATTTCATAGGATAACAGGGTCTGTATCACCAGACTCATATTTGTGGATTTAGACAACCACATAACTCTGATTACACATTTTTGGGCTATAGTGACCTGATCATATAGAGATCACCTCATGAGCTTATATGCTGTCTAGAACTTTCCTCAGGGCTGCCTTTATTTCTTTATTCCGGAGGCTGTAGATGAGAGGGTTGAAAAGTGGGGTCACCATAGCATAGAACAAAGTTGCAACTTTCTGCATCCCAGCAGAATGTCCAAGTCCTGGACTCACGTACATGACCATCAGAGAACCATAAAACAGTGATACCACAGCTAAATGAGACCCACAAGTGGAAAAGGCTTTATGTCTCCCAATGGCTGAAGGCATGTGAAGTACAGCAATCAAGACAAGTGTATAGGAACAAAGAATGAAGAAAAAGTTGCCAAAGATAACTAAAGAACTAAGAGTGTAACAAAGCAGTTGAGTTCTTGGAGCAGAACCACAAACCAATGCAAAGAGCGGGCCTGGGTCACATACAACATGGTCAATAATGTTTGAACCACAGAAGGGCATCTGCGAGATTAGAACAATGGGGACTAAGAACCACAGGAACCCACAAGACCAGCAGATAATGACCAATTTGGAACAGAAACTCCCACTCATGATATTGGAGTAATGCAAGGGACGGCAGATAGCCAGGTACCGATCAAAGGCCATGACAGTCAAAAGAAAGCATTCAGATGTACCCAAAGAAAAGAAGAAGTAGAACTGGAGGAAGCATCCAGCAAAAGAGATGGTTTTTTTGTTTGAAAGGAAGTTGACCAACATCTTGGGCACTGTCGAAGAGACATACCAGATTTCTAGGAAGGAGAAATTCCCTAGGAACATGTACATGGGACTATGGAGTCTCTGGTCACAGAACAGGGCATAAATGATAGCCATATTCCCCATGATGGTGAGACCATATGTTGTAGTGAAGAGTGAGAAGAGAAGGACTTGAATCTTCCACTCACAGGTGAAGCCTTGGAGAACAAATTCTCTTACAAAAGCAAAGCTGGACTCTGGCTCTGTGACATTCATTGACCTGCAAGGTCAACAGACATACTGTTACCAGTTAGGATTAGTTGTAAGCATAGTAATTTTTCAACAATGAGAACAGACAATGATCTTATGCTATGGGCTACTTTTTCAAAGACTTGTCAGTCAGGAAGATGACATACCTTAATTTTTCCTGGGTTATGCACTCTGAGTTTTAATTATAGCAGATACTTTAAAAAAGCTTTGCTTTTACACAAGAGCAAACTTCTGCCTGCTTTTAAATCTTTCCCCTACTGTGTGACCATGACCATGATAGAACTAGATAAAGTTGAACGCACTTCGGTAACCTATTTTCAAGCAGCAATAATGTTTGATAGTTTCTAGCAATCATCCAGCATAAAATTGGCACTTCATAAATATGTTAATTTCTTACTCCAAACTGCACTTGTAGTGTAATATGTAGGCCAAAAAGGTTTGCTTACTTATATTTGTTAAATATATTACTTCACAGTAGTCAGGTAACAAAGAAAATGGACCTATTTTATAGTAATTTAGAAGTACTTACTTAAAGTCATTTCTGATTTTACATTGAATATTATAAAGTATAAACACAGTGTTACTTACTGATACCAACTTTTAATATTAGATGCTGTAATATTTTCTATTGAAAACAGTGATTAAGCTTTTCCTTACTCTTTCACTTTGATTTCACAGGCTGAAATATAGCCAATATCATAGTAGTAAAGTTAGTATGACCAGTTAGCCAACACGTGAACATTTAAAAAGAAGACAGAGGCATGGAACTCTTTTGAAATGTTTTGTCCACAGATTTTCTTTGCATGGTTATATAACACAGAAATGTCTACTACATATTATGACAAATATTTTCTTTTGTCATAGTTAAATGTCTTCCATCCTACATTTTAATAAAAAAGCTGTCAGGAATTTGGATTACACACTGAAAAAGAAATATACATGCATGTAGGTATTAAAATCTGTGAAGACTTACGTTTTGAGCACAAAGACAAATTTCCAAAAAGAATGTTTTGCTCCAACCTACTTTGTACATCAGCACTTTTTGAAGTTTCTTTAAGAATAAGTAACTGGAAGCTCTGTTTGTGCTTGTTTTATAATTTGTGTGTTTAAAATGCTCTAATTCAGAAGTATTGATAAACTGAATTTAGGAATTATGGAAAAAATGAATTGACATAGAGATGTCATTATTTTTTAGCACTTCCCAAAAGCTGAAACTCTCACAGCTCTGACATGACCAGATCTCTAAATGTCTTCTTTAATAAACACTGTTCTGCTTATGATAATATAAAAACTGCACAAAAATTAATAATGTGCCTTCCATAGCTCACCTTCTCTTGGGACTTAATCACTGTGGCATTGGAGAGTGCATCTATTCCAAACCAATGATTTTGAAAAGTTAATGACTATACATTCTCTGAGGAACCAATAAAGTATGGAAAACTTAGAGACTGACAGACATTTCAAATGTCCCTGTGCATATACTGAAGGGGAAGTGTTACAGTAGAAAAACATTGACTAAAAATCAGTGGAATTCAGAAATAATTTAGAATATTCTTAGCATAAATATGTATGGAAGACAATATAGAAAAAATTTTGAGATATGAGAACAAAGCAAAAGAATAAAGAGTTGACCGAGGGAAATGTATCAGTTCAACAACCACTGGGGGGAAAATATACACACACACACACACACACACACACACACACGTATGCATGTGTATAGCTGAAGACTATATAACAAGAAACACAGGCAGGAGAAGTCTTCCTTTGAGCTGATGTCAGGGTAGTCCAAGAGACTCCCCAAATAAAAAACAGGCTACCGACACAGCCCTTGATTACTTCCCAGAACATGAAAGTAAGACCCTACTGCTAAAGACAGCATCTACTTCCAATACATGATTTTGGAGCAATGGAGCTGGAACTGACATGGAAACCTTTTCCCTGAAGACTATCTCTCATAGAATCCTTTGATACTATGGAAGCTGCTAAGGGAGGAAAGCAATCAATGGTCCAACCTAGCTGTAGAGCCTAACAACCACAACAGTGATGGGAAAGTTCCCAGAAGAACTCCTTCACTTTGGACTGAACTTCCTGCAACACTCATCAACTGATAAGCACTCCAGAGAATGTGGAGAGTCTGGAATGTTGCAGATCTGGAGCCTATTCACAGATTATCTGGGGATATCTTTAACCCCATAAAGAGCCAAACACTTCCTACCTCTGTTTCTGAACTAACATTGTTGTGACTAATGTATTGACTTAGCAGACCACCAGGTATCACCAACCAAAAAGATAGGAATATCATCAGATAGTATCTGAGACCTATAGTAGAAACCCTCCCATTTTGCTATGACTTCCTACCGAAAATATCCACCAATGTATTTGAAAAGTGTCTTGATTTGTGGCTTTTCTTGGTTCTGTTACTATAAAAACATAATGTAAATATTACCATGCCAGAATGTGGAATTTGGGATAACCTGAGTCTGTGTTCCCAGGCTACAGTCACTCATAGTTGGTTCCAGAATAAACTATCTCTTATCCCCTTTGAGGTGAGAGTTATGTTTTTGTGTTGACAATGTCTAGCACAGCAAACTATCTCTATTGGTGCAGTAGTGTACTTTTATCTTAGGGGTAATCAATAGCTATCCAACTGGACTTAAAGCCCACTCAATGGGAGGGGGTTCATGTATGGTGTTGTAAACATAGCCAAATACTCATGTGGAGAGGTCATAGCTCCTAGAGAACACCTATGTCTGTCACATTCCCTAGACAAAATTTCTTACTGTATCCTAAATACAGATCCTTACATTTATAGAATTGGTAGCCCACCACTCATCAAAGAAGCTTCTTTTTGCAACACATGGAGGCTATTGCACTAAGCAGGTTGCAGGGTATTCTTTTCAGGGAGCTCAGTTGGAGTCTCTTCCAGGCAGCTCAGTGGGTTTCTATTTCTTTCACACAGCTCAGCTCAGCTCTGCTTTTTTTCCAGGTGCTTAACTAGTTGGAGAACATCTCTGAGCTCCTTAGGGCTTATATATTCTTGGGGGCAGAAAGGGTCTAGTAAATCTAGTCAGTTTCAGGGACTTCCTGAAGCTTCTAAGTTGTTTACTTTCTGAGCTTAAAGTCTTCCTTTGCAGGATGGAATGTTTCACCTCTGCTCAAACATCCTCCTGTCTACCTCCCTTGAGACAGCCTATCATTTACCTTCCTGTAGAACATCCTATTGTTTACCCAGCTTTCATCGAAGATGGAAGGTTTTATCTCAGAGGAAATTGCTGCACAATACCAAATACTGTAACATACAGAGGACACCAGGAATGAACATCCTAGCAACACCGGTGTCTGTAAAAGCTTACTGAAAGTGTCCCTAAATTCTTTACCCAATAAAGATATTAAGGAGGAAAAAGGCTAGTCAGATCTTCATTATTTCTGAGACATTCTATTTCAGTCTCTTGTTACTTCTAGGTTTGGTTTGGTTTTGTCTGCTTAAAAACCACCAGTACTTCCATTATTTACGAAAAAAGCCCAAATTTTCAAATTATCTATAAGTTGGTTGTGCATTATATTTCTTTTCCTTTTTGTAAAAGTTATGCCTCATTTTAGTTTTGATTTTATTTTCTTGAAAATGAATGATATCAAACTTTTTTCATATATACCTGTTGATTACTTCCATATCTTCTTTTGAGAAAAGTATTCAGATTGTTTGCCAATTAATTTTTTTTTTACTATAGAGTTGTTTGCATTCTATATTTTGGAAATCAATCCCTTGTTAGATACATGGCTTGTGACTACTTATTTAATTCTGTTTGTCATCTTTCTATGCTGGTGACTGTTAAGGTTCAGATAGCCCTGCCCCCCACCAACAGGGTCTCACAGACTTCTCAAGCTCCTGAGAAAAGGGACCTGAGTTGATAATCACCTTGGTCTTTGAAGTCAAGAGAAGCAGACTTTTCCCCACTGTTTGGCCAACACAGCAGGCTTCCCCTTTGATCTCTAAAGAGAACAGGTTTTAACAGTCCTGCTCTCCCACTCCCCCCCACCCCACCCAACTTAAAAAAAAAAATACATCTTCCAGGCTTCTGTAGGAAGCAGAAGCCTCCCCTTTTAAAAGACCTCAGCTCATGACTGGGGGAAGACATTTTTCTTGCCTGGAAGGGAATCTGTCCCATGTGGTCCTTTGCTAATAAACTCTATTCTGATAGGGTTTTATCTGCGTCCTGGGGCTTTCTCTTGATCAACTCAACCTTAGGCCTCATACGGCTATTTTTATCTATCAGATGGTGCCAAAACCCAGTTCTTACTTCAAGGGACCCGCCTGGACTACTCCAACGCCAATAACTTGGCTTTCAGGTACACTCCTTTTCTCTCTCTCCTCCTCTCCCCAGCCCTCTGTTTTGGTTTCACCTCTTTCTGGCTCTCCTCACTGGGGAACACACTCTGCCTTGCCTGTGTCCTCTTTTGATCTCCTTTCCCAGACAGCACTCTGGTCTCCATTATGGAACTGCTTATCCATTCCCTACCTCGGTTGCACCACCAGCCGCTCACTACCGGCATCTCGCCCCCTCCCCCACTCCTTTGCCATGGGCCTGCAAGCTCTGCTGTCTTCCATCCTTTTTCCTGTCTTTATCCTCTTCTACTGCCTTTCTTCCTCATTTTACTCTGGATGATTTCTGATACCATTCAATCCAACACATACAAATGCTCTAGAACCTACTCCTCTCTCTCCCCCCTCCCATACTAAAGCTTTCTACTCCCTACCAAGTGCCTGCCAACCTGCCACGTGTCTGACCTCCCATGCAGGCTTTACACCTGCATGACCCTAAGACTTTTTTTTCCTTCCTGCTATTCACCCCCTCCAGGCAGGTGCCAAGATTGCCAGCTCGCCTGCCCTGGGGATTTTTTTTTTCTTTAACATTCTAATGAAATGATAAGTTTCCAGCTGGGCCCATTCTTAAATTCTCTTATAAATATGACTAAGAACCCTTTAGGGGAGCTTTCTCCTGGTTTTGACCCAACTAGCCTAAACTGGCTGGGCAACTTTGCTGGAGTACTTAAAGAATTTCAGGCAGCTTGCCCAATGCACAAACAAAAAATGTTTTAAAAGCCCTTTTTATCTCCTAAACTTTTTCTCAGGGCGAAGGGGCTCGAAATTTTGATGTTAGGCCCTCTTGGACATCAAACAACTGGTGCTCAGGTGCCTATTTTTCTAACTAGACCTAATCACTTTAAATTTCACTATACATAAGAGACACAGGCACTGCTTAGGCGAGTCATATGCTTTCAGACCAACAAACACTGATTTATATGCCCTGTTCCTTCTGCTGTCCTCATGAGTTTCATTTCCAGAATAGCTTCTGTCTACAAACTAAGAGCTCCTCAGAACTTGGCTTTGCATTCACAGCTACAATGGTTGGTGAGAAGCATGGATTTCTTCAATTTGCTTTTCTATTTGGGTCACATATACATATATATCTGAGGGTAGTTTCTTCTTTAATACCAAGCCTAATCTACTGGTACTGGGGTGCCTAGGATTCTCTTGCAATTTATTTTTGTATTATAAACAATGCATTTCTAGTTCAAACTAAGGTAATAATGCCAAATCTACACATGGGAGTTTAAATTTTAACATCGTTTAGGGCCTGTTTCTAAAGAGGATTACTTTGTGTTTTAACTTCTTCTATGGTATATTTCCTGTTTTTTTAAAGATGAGTGTTTTAAGTTTTTACATTTTTTGACATATTTGTGGATTTTTAAAAGGAATTATTTTTAGGTTTTGACATTTTTTATATGACATCTTTATCTGGTAGTATTAAAAGAATTATTTTGGATTTTAACATCTTCTATATAGTAGTTGCTAATTTCTAAAAATGACTATTTTAAATTCTTACTGTTTTACCTAGTATATTTGTTAGTTTCTAAAGGGAACTTAAAGATTTTCTAGCCATTTGCCTTCAAGGTGCAAAGGGAGCTGACACTCTGTGACGATTAGACCTATGAAGCACAAGGAAATTTTTCCAGGGCCAAAACCTTACAAGAGACAAGCTACTACCAACACATAGTTACAACAATGAGAGGTAAAAAGTAATAGTCTACTTGAGTGAGAGGCTTGAGATGCAGCCTCTACTGGTCTTAACTCCTCCCCTTTCTACATTATGATTCTAAGCCTGTTTTTCTCTGAAATAGAGTTATTTCCCTCTCTGATACTCACATGCTCTATGCTTGCTTATGTTCCTGCCCCATCCTTCCCTGAGTGCTTCCTAGTTATGATGTCATTGTAATATTAATTATATAGCTGTCACTTGCTGTTTGAGCTCACTGAGATGCTGACTCTGGAGATGGGATTGGTCCTCCCTCTTCAGACTCAAGGCTATTATCTCAAGATGTGTTCTCCAAGACTTTTCCAGGTTCAGGCTGGCCCCCTGACCCTGTGACAAGGAGGAGAACAACAAAACAGCCTAAGAGTAAAGGCACTGTGCAGTTGAGAACCGCTAAGGTGTAAATTAATTTCAACAGAGGATATTATTGACTATAATAAAACTAATGGAATTATTTTCAGTACTATTTAGATATTATTTATTCTTAAGCTAGTCTATTCATGTTTCCTTTTGTCTTTCCTGCCTCCTACTACATTTTATTGACTTCCTTCAGTTATTTAGCTCTTAAAAAAGAAAAGATGCTACCTTAAATCTATATGGAAACTTAACTCTTTCTTTAGACCACTATACAAAACGACATCTAAGCTGGTTGGGTAAAATCCTATTTGTTGAATACCATTTCTGTTTCTGGTTTACTTTCAAGGTGTTCTAAGTTGTATTCATTTTGTTTGTCTACTTCAAAAGTGTTTTAGTTTAATAATGATAAACCAACCACATTCTCAACAAAGACTATACAATTAAATATGTATGTACAGTCAACATAAATTTATGCTTCTTAAAATTAATTTACTTGGTATATAAATTTTTTAACTAAAATCTCATACAAACTAAAAATGTTAACACCAAAATATTTTTTTCAGGCCTAATATTCTCTCTTTAATCTACAACATGGTTCCTGGCACTAAAATATATAAATTCATTTAAGTACCTCTCTCTCTCTCTCTCTCTCTCTCTCTCTCTCTCTCTCTCCCCCCCCCACTGACCTTCTGGGGCTCTAATAAACCTCTACTAAACCACTGCCCTTCTGGGACTCCTCTTCACTCAGCCTCTACTAAACCTCAGGATCAACGTGTGCCACAAGCTTCCCTCCCTTCTGGCTCACTGCGTTTTTCCCACGTTTCTCCAATCCCATTCCTTGTACTTTGTCTCCATCTACTGGATGGTCATGCCACGCTCTCATTGCAGGGTTTTCTGCTCCTCTTGCTTGCCTCAAAATCACACATGTATTGGAAAACCCTTTCCTTTCTCTGGATATAGGATACTATTTCCAGAGATAGGAACACGCACTACTTCCTGTCCAGGAAAGGATCTCGCCTTTCCTCTCCCTGATGATCTAATTGTGGGACACCACCTTCTGGGACTTGGAAATAACTCAAAAATAATAACTAGAACCTGAGCAACAAAAAAGGATGCTTTCTTTCGGTGCCTGGTTCACCTCACTCTCGTTTTGTGTGACCAATGCCAAACTCCTTTTCCTCCCACTCCCTCCCCGTCTTTCTCTTCCTTGTCTGCTGTACTTTCCTGCCCAGACTCGTGATCCTGCCTCCACTCCCTATGGAGAGAGGATTTTCTTTGTCTCCCATCGGCTCAATTCTGTCTCTACCTTCTACCCACTTGCTCGATTCTTTATCTCCTCTTCACTCTGTACTTAATCTGTCACTATGGGTACCACCCAAAGTCTTGGGGTCTCTCACCTCTTTCTCATCTTCTTAAATCCTTAAAACAACTAGGACTTTTGGATACAATCAGGCCAAAACGTCTGAAGTTCCCATACACCACTGCCTGGCCTCAGTACCAGTTAGATAATAACTCTGTTTGGCCAGACACTGGAACTTAAACTTCAATATTTTGAGAGATTTAGAGAATTTCTGCCATCGTAAAGGCAAATGTTCCAAATTACCATACATCCAAGCTTCCTTTGATCTCTGTGCTAATCCCTCTCTCTGGATCCCATGTTCTTCCCATCAGGTTCTTTTGGCTAAGAAGGTTTCATGGGATCCCAACCATCCAGGGGCCTCTGCCCCCCTCCTCCCTACCCCTCTACCTCAGCTTTTGATCTTACCATAGACGATGAACTGCCTCTGATTAAGACCCATCCACAACCTCCTCCTGCTCCCCAGCCTGAGGCACAGCCAAGTCCTCCCCATGCTCTCCCTTTGCTATACTCTCCCTTGCCTCCCATTCCAGGGTCCAACCCAGGTCTCCTCCTTTCTCCAACTCGAACTCCCTGTCCATTCCATGGTCTTCCCCCTCTCCAGTGCTGCTCTAAGTCCATCACCATCTCTCCTTCCACTAACTCTCCTCTACTTGACAAAATCCAAAACCTTAAACACCTCCTTGCCAAATATTCCGTAGCCTCCTCTATTCTGGCTTCTAGCTCATTTATCCCTCCTGTATCTAACTTCTACTTTGATTCCAGACCCTGCCTCCAATACCCCTGCCCCTGCATCCCTATCATGGACAGGACACCCCTCCCATCTCTCCCACTCCTACAGTTATAAAGTCTGAATGGGGTTATAGCACAGTTTTCCTTAATTGATTATTTTGGAGGTTGTAAACATCAATTTAATAATGTTTAACTATGTACCAATTGCTTTTTTCCACCTAAAGCAAGGTTTTGGTAGACCACTCTCTAAACTACATAAGGTAAAAGATTTCCTAGAAACTTATAAAACACAATATGTACACAGGTAATATTAACTTATTACATTAATATGTATAATTTAGATTCCATGTTCTTTTAATAAGATAATGCTACACACTACTTTTTTCTGAGACAAACAACTACCATCTTCATGACTTCAGCTGTGTCCACTAACAAAAAATCATCACAATTGGACTTGTTGACTTAAGTATCTAATTAAAGGATGAGGGGTAAACAGGGTCATTGGGCCCTCATCTGAGTATCCAGCTGCTCTTCCCAGCCAACTGTATGTAATTTGGCCCTAATCACATGGTCTCCTGGGTTTGGGGAGGACTAAAGTATATTATCTGGAAAAGGCTAGGAAGAGAAGGCTTGATCCATGCTGGGTTAAGGCTTTCAAATGTAAATACTCTCAGGTCACTCATATACCTCAGCAACCCCTCAGTCATCTCTGTAAGTAAGCTCAGTAAATTCATTGGTTCCCCAGAAAAACTTTAAAGTAACCAAACATTGGTTTGCTACAACAACCTGAAAAGGGGAAAACATTGCTTAGTGTCCCCAGGAAAAGAATTCTCACGAGAGATAAAAATTTTGTTTGTTAATGTTGTGTCTCATGGTTATTAAAAAAAGAAAATGGAAAATTGGAGGATATTGGAAGGATATGAGAATGGAGACATTTTTAAAGAAGGATTTACGTATGAAAATTATGATGGGTGGATATTTCCAGAATTGACAGATTAATGAGAGAGCTGGGC